AGCCAAGGATTTTCAAAATTTTGTATTTGATTAGTAGGATTAAAGTTAAATAAAACAAAACTAGTGACCGTATGAAAAATCACTTTATTATATCCACGATCCAAATAATTTTTTTGGCCTTTTTGTTCGTTATCAAATACCATAAATACTAAACCGTTTGGAAATGGTTCAGAATTACCCGCTAAAGTTTCTTGCCATTTAATAAATTTGGTAAAACCACCAGCATTTATAATATGGCCATCGATATCAATTATTGTTTTAGATTTTGCTATAGAGTACTTTATTGCTGATAGTGCTAAATTAATCAAAGATACGTATTTCAAATGTCTTATTCCATATATATTATCAATTACTACAGCGCATTTAAAAAGTTTTTCTCCTTCGTAATGGTCTTCATTTTCGTTAAATGTAAGAGTTTTTATAAATTCTACTACAACTGGATTACGAATCATAAGCTATTGAGATGGGAAATAATTTAAGAGACTATCTAAATGAAATCGCTCATAGTCATTTATTAATTTAATGACATCATTATATAAGGCATTTCGTTCTCGCTTAACGATTTCTATAGCAGCTTCAACACGCACTTGTTGATTATCATATTTATTATTCAATTGTTTCTTTAATATTTCATTTTCGAGTAGTAATTGTTTATTTAAACGTTCTAATTTATTAATTTTTTTTATAAGGCTTTCATATTCGGGATTCGGTAATGACACTTGAACCTCAAAATCACAAAAATTCAGTTCATTATTAGACAATTCGATTTTCTTTTTATTTTTTTCATTGGAATAAAAAAAACAGAATCCCCAACTTTTTCTAATTGCTCAAGAACAAAATTTTTAACAATTATATTATTATAATGTTTTTGATATACGGAATAATTAGTCAAAGAATTAAGGAACAGAGACAATTTTGGAAGATACTTAACCAAAGCCTTGGCTTTATTCACTACCATGGGAGCATCTGCATGTCGCCACTTTTGCTTTTCAAGTGTTTCACATTTTGCCAACTCACTTCCCGGATAATCTCCAATGAGAAATTTAAACAAACAAGATAACTCTTTGGCTTCTGTTTGTGAATTCACCATGTCTATATATGAATATATATATAATTTAGGTGGAAATAAAAAAAAACTGCTTTATAAACCTTCGGGGATCCTCGCGGATTCTAAAACTACAAACTTTGAAAAATGTATTTTGACAATTTAATTTTTTTAAAAAATCAGGTATATCTTTTTTTGATATCACGAAGTTCACGGGTTTTGCATTGAGAAGGATGATCGTCCACCAATTAGATTTCAAGGCGCGATTTGGAATATTCTAGATTTGATTTCCAAAATTGGGAAAATACCAGACTGTAATAAGAGCAAAATGTTTAAAGTTAAGGTAGTAGAGTCAAACTCTAATGAGTTTCCAACTCTAAGTTATCTTTGTTACAAGAGGAAAACTCCTCTATATATAATTAATCGTTATATATAACAGAATTCTAGAAATTCTAACTATTCCTGCTATTCTAACTATTCTACAAATTCTTGGCAATTCCTATTATTTCTTGAACCTTGAATTCTAAAAATTTCCAAATACTAGTAATTCAGGAATTTGTATTACTTTTAACTCTATATTTAGAACTACAAGATAAAAATAAAGTTTAAAAAGTCAATTTAGCCTTTCACAACATACATACATGTATAACTTACTATATAATATTCATTTATTTCTTACTTTGCGTTGTGCTACTACCTTATTAGTAATCAAATTGATATAAAAACTTACGATTTTATTAAGAACTTTATAAGGAATATCTTCTGTATTGTGACTATCTATAGCTTGTCACTTCGGATAACATATCACCTCAAATTGGGTAAATGTATTGTATAGGATCTGCAGATAAGGTTTACTTTTTTGCACTGATGTGATTAAATTTATCCAATAATAAGGCTGATCATTCAATATCGGTGATTAGCAAATAATGAAAAAAATGCAAAAAAATTGCACTATCCCGAAAATAAAAAATGTTGCAGTAATAGAGATTTTAGAACAAAACAAAACTTTAAATAGTTTAGTTTTTTATACAAATAGCTTATTTTCGTTTTCAGAAAGTAGATTAAAATAAAAATAAGATGTAGATTAGTACAAGTTACAGAAGAAGGTCACATTATATATCAAGTAGTATAAAAAGTAGTTTTTATCAACAAGAACAGAGCTAGTAGCAATTCTGGTAATGCTTTTAATAACACCTAAAGAAAAAGAAGTTAAAATAAAGACAGATAGTAGTGCAGCTATTTTTGCAATCAAAAAAGAGATCAAAGCAAATAAAGCAAGACAATGGCTTAAAATAAAAAATGAGGGTCTGATTGCAACAATAGTAGAAATAGTTAAAACAAAGCAACTAGCTCTTTATATAACCAAAGTAAAGAGTTATTTAGGAGATTTTTACAATGACTTGGCAGATTTTAAAGCCAAGAAAGTGTATCATCTACAGAACTCTTAATTTCTACAGTATTAGACACAAAAGAATTCAGACTAAAGTACAAGTGGAAAAATAAAGTTACAGAAAAGCCAATATATTCTTTTATCAAAATAATGAGTAAAGTAATAAATAGAGTGAATGAACTTTTGTGCATAATAGTCAAAATATAACATATCAAGAAAGAATAATCTTACAATATTGGCCAATCTTCTATAAACTATTAGAAAGTAAAACCAAGCAGCAAAATCACACTTTTAGATCAAATTCAATGCAGCTTTTTGAATTAAAGTGTATAACCAGTATTAGAAAAGCTTAACAGAAGAAAACCAGATATATACAAAATAGATAAATGTATTATATACAAGAAAAAGACAGAAAATATAGAACATCTAGTAAGCTATAAAGTATTACTAAACATAATGCAAAATATAGAAGAACAAGAAGTTAAGCTGACCCTAAAAGAAATAAAAAAAATACAAGACTAGTATGAAAAGAAAGAAGAAATCTTATTTATAATGGAAAAAAAAAATATAGCTAAAAAGCTCTATAGAAGAGAAAGATAGATAAGAGGTCTAATCACAAAAGAAAATTTTGATGAAATTCGGCTAAGTTTTGATTTTAACAAACAAGCAAGAGATTTCATAGTAAGACTTTGAAAAAGATAGATTAAAAAGATTTATGAAGAGATATGAGTCACAAGATACAAGCTAGTTCAAGAATAGGAAAAGGAAAATAGTATAATGCAGAAAGAAAAAAAAAGATTTAATGCAGATACTAAAGGAAAAAAGAAAAAAACTAAAAAGAAAAAGAGAGCTAGCAAAAAGAAGAACCCAAGTAATGACTTTCATGAAAGAATGAAAGAAAAAAATGAGACTAAAATAAGATGAAGAGAAGTGCTTGAACTAACTAAGAATGAGATTTTAAGTTAGATAAAAGGTGAAAAATGAGCAGATTGGTGAAAAATTTAATTAGTAGTCTTGACAGACTATAAGAACCATCCAAGGAGATACTAATGAATCCATTTGCAGGATAATTAGTATGGAGGTAAATCTTACTATAGCAGGTTGCACATAGGTATTCTTTAAACAACCAGGTGAGCCAATACTTGTAATTTAGATATTAGGGAGAATAACCTTCTGAAAAATTTAATATTTCAAAGTATAATATTATTAAACCTAATAAAGTAAAGGCAAGACTGCCGAATTTAAATAAAAAAAAAATATATAACATCACCAGTAAATTTTATCTTTGGTGAATAATAGCAGCCATAGATGTTATTTCGAATTTTGGCTCGAATTAAGCTTAATTCAGGCCAAAATTCGAAATTACGCCCATGCCCGCTATTTCGAAAATTTACGATATAAAAACTTTTTTATGTTGTGTAACTCAGGGATCTTCAAGCCAATCAAATTGCAAATCACTAATAAAATCCAATTCGTAATACTGTAATACAGTAAGTAATACATCTATTTTATTTGTTTTGTTTTACAAACAGGGGAGTAAATCAGTACCTGTGATAAATAAATATCGCACGACCCACCGATAGCCATTACAGTATATACAGTACCAATAAGGAAACATTAACGCCGCGAGATCGGAGTTCCTATTAGAAGTACAGGGCTCCGCAGTCATATAAAGCAGTTGTAATACGAACTTCTAAAAACTATAAAAACTGTTCTTAATAGAATTGTTAATCCGTATCACATCGTAACTATCATATAAAATAAATTTATGATATATCATCTGACATGGACAGTTTAAACAGCCATAACGATAGCTTATTTTCAAAACATGTTTATTGTCGTAGTAACGACTTCACAAACATTGGCAACTAAAGAGGGGTGCGAAATTATTATTTTTTTTAAATCGGACAATTATAGTTAGGCTTATGCTATTAACTTATTTATATAAAGGTAAATGGCAGATATTCAAAGACCCACTGGTATGGTCTACCCTGACCTACCACGAGAAGAAAGCAATTTACGGAGTGCGATGATGCGCGAGTTATTTTCACAAAGAGAACGAGAGTATATTGGTTACTCATCTGATATTGCTGAGAACAATAATGCTGAAATTGAAGAGCAGGGCAACATAATTACGAGGGAAACATCACTAATAATTAATGGAGTTAGTCGTATATCAAATGGCGTTTTTTTTAGTGATGACGAGACAACTTCTAGCTTAAGCGAATTGTCGTCGGATCATGATTCGAGCTTGGATAGTATAGACAGCTTGGATAATTGCCGAAATTCCGTTGTTGATGCTTCGGAAAACATTCAAAACGATTCTAATGGCTCAGAAAATGGGCAAAATTCTACGTTTGACGGATCAGAAAAAAATCCAAAAATACAATTTAATGGGTCTAATAGAGGCTCAAATTACAATGATTCTGACAGAGACTCAATAGAACCTTATTATGATAATTATGAAACTAATAATATTAATGGTGTTTCATCCGATGGATTGATATCACCATCTTTCACGCTACCACAAGATCAAATGTCATGTACAACATCACAAAATCTAGAAATATGTTCGAGCAGTGTAAGTAGATATCAAGAAAATATTGAGTGTGAGAACGGTGAGAACGGTAATTGTGGGTCCGAAAAAAGTTTAGGAGAAAAATATAGTAGTGAGAATGAAAGTAATTACGAAGAAAGTGAAGATGAGCTACCTGCTTTGAGCGTTATACAAGCAAAAATTGATGAATTAGCTAAATGGAAAAAAGACGTATGGGCACGTTTACGTGAACAATCTGAAAGCTCATCTACTCCTGAACCGAAAGCAGAGAATGGTATGCCTGTTGATATATCAGCGTATGTGTTTAATTTAATGACTGATTATTGCAATGTTATAGAAATTTACTTGTCCAGTTATTTTTGAGATATTCCGAATTGCTAGGAGTTTTATATGCTATTTTTTTCTCATCCGAGTTTTATTTAAATTTTCTTTATTCCAGAAGTCTTTCAACACCCAAAGTTGAAAACGATGATGTGTCCATAAAAATACTGCCAGAAGGTACGTTGAACATATTATAATACCTTAAAATCTTTTTCACACAAATTAATTAAAATATTTTTTAGATGGATCGAGATCAACAACTTCAATACAGCAAGATGAAACAAACCTAATAGCCCCATATCATCATACAAACGAATCGGTTGATTCGAATCCAATGCTTACAAATAATGAGTCAAAAGGTTCAAATTCCGTACCATACTATGAACGATCTGAATCAATGACCTTTTCAAATCGAGCACGAAATGAATCGACAGCCTTTTCAAATCATGAGAGAAATGAGTTTAGTCCTCTTCATGAGCGATTAGATAGAAAATTTTTTCCAGTTAGTGAACGATTTGAATCTTTTCTTTATTCAACTTATGAACGTGATTCAAGACTCTTTTTCGACGATCGTTATGATACAAGGCCTTATTCTGATGATCGATATGAAACGTTCCTTTATGGGAACAGTGAACGAAACGATTCATGTCGTTTTCCCAGTCATGAAAGGAACGATCCAGGACGTTTTTTAAATCATGAACGGCTAGATCCGAGTGGTCCTTTACTTAACAGACAAGATGTTGATATTACGGCTTTTCATCAACAATTACCTCCCGCGATGAAACGTCATAATGAGCAAAATCCATCTCTAGGTCCATTGCATAAGAGATCACGGCATATGCCTAATGGATTTCATTATGATCCTATGAATCATGGTCCTAACAATGGCATATATGGTCCACCGCCAACAGGTCCAAGTGGAATGTCCGGAAGTGGCATGATGGTTAATAACCTTACTACTCTTTTATTTGATCATTGCTTCTTATGCCTTCTTAAGGACCTTAACTAAATATACACTATGGATTTCCATTAGGGTCGCGGAAGAGACGATCAATATCATCATTATTATCATAGGAACGATTATCGACCTCCGCCACCCTACTTTGATCGACAAGGACCTTATGGACGAGGTCATATGAATAATATTTCACGAGTAAGTCATACCTATAATTAATATGAGAAATTTTTTAAATTAAACTTTTAACACTTGTAATATTTACAGCGCCCTATAGGTGGACCATCAAGACCTCTATCTCGGCCGCAAGAACGTCCACGCGGCAGATATTAATATATATTTATGATTTAAACTATAATATATTTTAAGTTGAAAATTAAGCTGAACCCTGTGATTGATTAGTGTACATTCGTTTTAATGGTCATAGACATAGCGTCATTATGTATCTTTATTTTCAACATTTCTGTTCTTCATTGTACATAGTTTTTGCAATTTTTATTATAATAAATTAAACATATCAAATCCAGTCATGAACTGTGAAGTGATATTGCACCTTTGAGTTGTAAATTGTGATAATACTATCAGCAATTAAGGGACATCGTTTCCCTTATGAAACGTACTTTCAACTATCAATAGATTGTTTAATTCTAAATGCTTTCTTTTTACGAGAAGTTACTTTATTTAAAGCGTCTTTCTTTTGGAATCGAATATTCACAAATATACGTTGGTTTAATGTTAAAACTTATCTGTTATTGTTCTCAAAAGAACATCGAAATTCAATTACTATTAGCATCTAATGTAACTTTTGAAATTAAACGGCTTTTGGGCCGGGCCTGGGCTTGAAATTTTAAGTAATTGGGGATCGGATATATTAGTCGAGACCTAAAAAATTAACGATTTACTCACATCACTGGTTATACCGACATCTATAACATCAAACAGTAATTTTATTTAAAAAGAAATCAATGAATGATTAATAAGTATTTGATCGATAAGTTTTTTGGTCAAACATTTCACCAAGTGTCAATTCTCAACAGGCAGAAGGTACTCGAAGGTTAATCCGGCTTTATTTATCGGAAACCTGACACAAGATTGACAGGTTACGCTATCAAATGATTTGCCTGACTGTACCCAGACGCAGATGCAGGTGCATAAAATTGATAAGTTGTTCTTGCGCATGTTCACTAATTACATTTTCACGTCAAGCCGGTTATTTTTACGAAAGTATATATATCGATATGAAAGTGTAAACCTACTGACGCTTTTAAATAAAATATAAAAAGTATATAGAAAATATTTGTTTTTAAAGTTATACGTACGGTTATGGAAGGCAATACTCCGCAGGTACATAAAAACAAAAAGACAAAATTTATACAGTATTATATCTAATTTTTACTATATATATTTTACTGCAGCTTATAATAAAAATTACTGTAATATTAAACACTAGTGATATGATTAACTTAAGCTTAAATACTATATTAACTAATATATTTAAGTAAAGCTTTAATTAATAATAAAAAACCAAATAGGTTTTGACTATGGTGCATATAGGGTTTTTATTATACCGGTATAATAGAAATGGTAGTATAATATATATATACCGTATAATATGGTTCGGAATCTTTCTGAAATTTCTAAAAATTAGTTTGGAAATCTTCGTGTCCTCAAATAACCCGATTTAATTGGCTAAATTGTTTTTAATTATGGTATTATATCTATACCCTTTGTGTATAATACTGGTATTATACGGGTATTATACCAATTGTATAAAAATCTTATATAAAAATATATACGTAGCAGATAGGGTTTTTAAGATTTTTTATACCGTATTTATACAATTGGTACAATACCCCGATCATTATATCAAGATCACGGGGTATTATTATTACTAATACCCGTATTATACACAGAGGGTATACGTTGTTAACCTGCGTATACCTCTCGGAAACGGGGTTAACGGTTCAACTAATAACAGGGAGTCACGTGAGCACGGAGACACAAAACCGTGCCGTGGTATGCTATAATTGTAAGTAAGTATGCAAGCGAGAGGGTTTAGTATGTAGTGATTTGGCAATTCGAAAGAGTGTGTGATGTATGTTATAGAATCAATTGTAGTGTCCTTTATTTATATTAATAAACTATCATGGCAACATCCTACAAAGTGGAGCGAATATCGCCCGTATATATAATAAACTATCTACTAATAATTACATATGTCCCTTGAACTATAAATGTCCCATCCGCTACAAATGTCCCTGGTATCCCTTATACCATTAATACTTCTTATGTCCCTTGATCCACTTAGTTCCCTTGCGCTACATATGGCACAATGGGCACATGTGGCACATTCGGCACATTCGGCGCAGTAAACCCGTGACTCGTAACCCGTGATAATAGGGACCGGGTAACAACGTACAATTAAATCGAGGACACGAAGATTTCCGATTTAAACAAGCTAATTTTTAGAAATTTCAGAAAGATTCCGAACCATATTAAACTATAGAAGCAAAATATTGGTTATACCGTATTATACAGTATTATACGGTATTATACCTGGTATTATACTACGTACCATTTCTATTATACCGGTATAATAAAAACCCTATGCATATAGCCTAGAACCAACACCATGTGACCAAGAGTGGCCAATTAAATTTTAGCATAATAAAAATTTTTATATTAATAGCCAAAATTTTAAAATATATTAGATATCTAATATATATTGTAATATATAAAAAAAAAAATTCATAAAAATGCACCCTAACCCTAAATTTTATTAAAAACAATAATATATGGTTATTTTTATTTTATATAGTTATAAAGGATCACGTGATGTTGGTTCTGCTTATTTAAGGTATAGTTTATAGGGTTCAAATTTAAAATTTGGTGAAAACCAACCAACATCTCTAGGTTGGGTTTGGATCTATTTGGCCTAGACCACAATATTTATTCTGTATAACAACCCCTCAATGTTTTAACTATTTTTTTTTTTCCTTCACGTTTTTTACTGATATTTTATTTTCCGTATTAATTTTTACTCACGTTTTTATAACATCTTTTCCTTTTTATTTATTTTTTTACTCACATTTCTTACAACCCTTTTTTCTTTGTTATTTTCGGTATTCTTTTTCTATCCTTACTCCAGTACTCACGTTTCTTATCGCACCTCTTTCTTTGACACACAGTGCATTTTCGACAAATTTTGGTACGCTAGGTTTTTATTGTTTTGTCAAGCTTCTTCAATTTGGCATGTTCTTTTGACAGATTTTGTGGCTTGTTTCGTTAGTGATTCAAGTTTAATGAAACTTTTTTCATGTTTTGTTGTGTTATTTCGTCAACTTTTGATGGGTTATTTCGTAGAGTTTCAGTACGCTCTTTCATTGTTCAGTACAATTTTTTTCATTGAATTAACGTTTCTTCAAAACGAAATTAATTTTTTTTTATAGTATTCTATTAAAAACATTATATTTTTATCAATGTTTTTTTAGTTACCTGTTATTTGTCCATTCGATCTTTCTATTCCTATAATTAAATATATTAAAATATAAAAAATTAAAAAAAAAAAAAAGACGAAATTTTTTTTTTTTTTTACAGTTTTCTAAAGTAAAGACAGCGGCCACCATAATGTTATTATTATTAATGTTAATTTCATAATTGGATTAATAACATCACATCTGATTTTTGCCGCTGGTAGTGTGATCAGTCATACAACTGGTATAATCGGTATAACCTGTTACAGATTGCAGACGTGCTCTTTAACTTGTTCTTGAGTAGTTATGAATTCTTCGTAACCCTTTTCCAATTCTGTTAGCCAATCAGGATGGAACATAAGAGTATTCCACTTGTTACCTGGTATTAAAGCTCCTTTTAGACTCAAAGCATCGAGCTTTTCCTTAATTACTCGATCATCTTTAGCCAAAGATTGTTTTTTCCCATTGTTAATATATATATGTACCAGAGACTCTTTTTTTGTGGCTTTCAATATGTATGATGAAATTTCTTTCAAAAAATCGCATTCATCTGAACTAAGGCCTTTCGAAATGAAAAATTGATCTGCGTAAGAACTTGAAACAATAGTTTCAATCGATATGCCAGGAAGTTTGACCAACGTATCGACTTTGTCGATGACAGCACTCGCGAATTCTAGACTTTGAATTTCATTACTGGATTCGGCATTTTGATTTTGTTCATCAACTCCATCTACTTGTTTTTCCTCTTCGACAACGATAAGACGTCCATCTTTGATAAGCTTTTCAATTGTTTTATTCACTTCAAGGTGTCGATCAAGCTTCTTTGGTTTGGTCTTAATCCAACGGCCATACTTATTTTCAAGTAAGCTGACAAGAGTATTCAGTTTATGGGCCTATTTCAAAGTGATTATAAAAATTAAGAATATCATTCATGTAAATTATGGTCAAGCTGTTTGAAAAATAAAGATGACCTACTTTGCCTTTCGGATAAGAACTTAAAAGCAATTCATAAATCTCTTTTTCTTCATCTTCCCTAGACATCGGATTCATGCTTTCATAGTTTAAATAATCAGGATTCATCCTATCTTCAAGAATGTTCTCATACACTTGAATTCCAGCGAATGCGTCAGTTGATGCATATAATATTAATTCAGGATCCAATATTGCTGCATCAAAATTCCATTTTAATATCTTTCTTTTATTTTTTTCCAAAACAAGCCCTGGATCACCAAACATTAACGTTAACTCTGACAATGATCCCGCTGAATAACCTTTTTCTTTAGCAATGTCCTCGAGATTAACAATTCCTTGGCATTGAATGTCATATGATTTTTTTAGCCATTCTGCATCATGAGTCGCATTGACTCCAACTTTTAGAATATCCGGATTACTTAAAAATTGACGAAGTATTGGCGGAAACTCTTTACAATTCCCCTGTGTAATACGATACACTTGAAATAAAAAGCACAAATCACGCGTGGCAATTTGTATCATTGAAACTAATCTATGGTTTCGTTGTCTGTGAACTGTAGTCTCAGTATCAAAACCAACGTAACCGGAATGCCATGAGGTGCATTTTTTCAAAATGTCGAAGCAACGGCTAGCTATATGAAAAAGTGTGCAAATACGTGTATATTAACTCAAGATTCACGAGCCATATAAAACATTATTACTAATATGCTTAGATATTACCATAATATTTGTTAGAGATTTGGTATACGGGTGGGTTCAATCTGACCTTTGGTATTTCTGACCTGTCTAAAAGGTCAACTAAGGAAACAGACGAAGAATTAGGAGGCCCCTGCTTTGAAGCAACAGAGTATGTTCGTGTTCGTACTTTATTGTACATTTTTGTCCCAATATATTTGTAAGAAATTGGGGCTCTTGAGCGTGTAAGCCAAAAAAGCAGGTGATCCTGTTGCATCTTATTATTCGATCCTAATCTTTTTTTTTTTTTAATGATATCTTTGTGTAACTGCTGTAGGCACACCTGTACTCACGTATTAACCCTAGGTGCCGCACAAAAAATGCGCGGCAGATTCTCGATTTTTATTGGCTAACGGCCGTGGATCTTCAAAGTTTTGGCCCGCATTACATAATTGTTCACTAATTTCCGGCCGGAATTAACTTTTTAATTTTTTCATTACAAACTAACTTTCACTCTAGGTGATATCACCTAGTTGCATAAAAACCAATCAGATCGCTAGATCCCGTGTAACCAAAACAAAGTGAAGAAAAAAAAATTTTTAAAAAACTATATTTCAACTTCTAAGCAAAAGTTTTTAGTTTTGAATTTTACTTATATCGGTCAAATGAAATGTCGATTAATCTGCATTATTATATAACTATTAATAATCTAACTATTAATAATATTACTATAATCCGAAAGTTTAATATTCAAAAATTTCAGACATGTTTTGATTTCATAATATAAATTGTATTTATATGAATCAGATATATTTATATAAAATTAATAATAATATTTTTATAACGAAGTTTCTTTATCAAAACTCGTTCTATTGGTTCATGATCACATGATAAATCATGTACGGAAAACTTGCTGTGATCCTCTACAAAACAAATACCTGTTACGTATGTAAAATATAGTATCCTAGCCATGGCGAAAAAATTTGTTGCTAAAACGAGATTCTATTTTGAACAGTCGCATTCTGATTAGACGAGATTGTTCGATTGTAATTATTTTTTTTTCAAACCTTTAACAAGGATATCTCGACAACCATCTATATGAAATCGATGAAATTTTTTTTTATTTTAATTATATAGACATAAAGAATCAGAATAAAAAAAAAATCTCATCGATTTTAGATAGGTGGTTGTCGAGATATCTTCGCTCAAAGTTCGGAAAAAAACTTTGCCGCAGCTTTTGTTTTGATAGCTATCCAAAATTTTCTAAACTTTGAGCGAAGATATCTTGACAACCACCTATCTAAAATTAATGAAAATTCTTTTATTCTGATTCTAAATGTTTATATAATTAAAATAAAAAATAATTTAAATAGGGTAGTTGTCGAGATATCTTCGCTCAAAGTTTGAAAAAAACTTTGCCGCAGCTTTTGTTTTGATAGTTTAAGTTTTTTCTAAACTTTGAGCTAAGGTATCTCGACAACTACCTATTTAAAATCGATAGAAATTTTTTTATTTTGATTATATAGACATATAGAATCAGAATGAAAAAAAATTCATCTATTTAAATAGGTGGTTGTCGAAATATCTTTGCTCAAAGTTTAGAAAAAACTTAGATTAACTATCAAAACAATGCTGCGACAAAGTTTTTTCCGAACTTTGAACGAAGATATCTCGACAACTGCCTATCTAAATTGATGAGTAGTTTTTCTTTATTTTAATTATACAGACATAAAGAATCCGAATAAAAATTTTTCATCGATTTTAAATAGGTGGTTGTCAAAATATCTTCGCTCAAAGTTTAGAAAAACTTATTATCAAAACAAAAGCTGCGGCAAGTTTTTTCCAAACTTTGAGCGAAGATATCTCGACGACTACCTATCTAAAATCAATTAAATTTTATTTTAATTGTACAGACATGTAGAATCAGCATAAAAAATTCTTTGTCGATTTTAGATAGGTGGTTGTTGAGATATCTTCGCTCAAAGTTTAGAAAAACTTGGATAACAAAAGCTTGGAGAAGTTTTTTTTCGAATTTTAAGCGAAGATATCTCGACTACTACCTATCTAAAATCGATGAAATTTTTTTATTATATAGACATAAAGAATCAGAATAAAAAAAATTTTATCGATTTTGATAAGCGGTCGTCGCGAAAAAACTTGGATAACTATCAAAACAAAATCTGCGGCAAAGCTTTTTTTCGAACTTGAGCGAAGATATCTCGACAGCTACCTATCTAAAATCGATTGAATTTTTTTATTTTAATTATATAGACATATAGAATCAGAATAAAAAAAAATTTCATCGATTTCATATAGGTGGTTGTCACGTTAAAAGTTTGAAAAAAATTAATTATAATTGAACAATTTCGTCCAATCAGAATGTGACTGTTCAAGTAGAATCTCCTTTTAGTGCAACAAATGTTTTCGCCATGGCTAGGGTACTATGTAAAATATGTATTAGAGCTAACAAAAGTCAGAGTGGGCCCATTAATTTACTCTGTATGTTATATTCCAGTATTTAGTACTTAAAATACTGACATATTCAGATATTTACAAAGACTTGAGATGTACCCGGCGTATATTTTTCATTCAACTTTGATAGTCTTCAATGTTTTACACCAACTGGGGATTCTTCAGTGCATGAAGATACTATTATTCATGATATAATATGTATAGTACATGAATATAAATTTTAATTCTCAAAGCGTCTTGAGTAAAAATCATAGAGACCCACCAATTAACACTTTATAGTACGTTTCTCTCTTGCTTTTTTAACTACTTTATTTTTTTTTTGTAATTTTTTTGCACTCCAAAAAAGAATCATACCTAGATGAAGTATCATTTATTAAAGGGCATTATCAAGCGCCTTGGCCAATAAGTCATAAATCGGTAAATAAATTTACTTAGCGAAAAATATTTTAAACAGAGTCAAGTAAGTTTATCATTGTAATAATAATCAGAATTTGATAACGATAAAGTTTATCATATTTTTAATAGTAAAAACATTTTATCATTCAATTTACAAACTTTTTGCCACTGAATATATTTTTTTTTACACCTGGCTTGGCAAAATCTGCCATTAATTGAGTGTCCAGAAAGATCGCTAAGTAACTTCGTCGCGGATTCAAACATTCAGCATTCATGAATTATCTCACTTCTTATACTAAATGTTTTCATTAAAATAAAATTATTGAAGATCCAAAAAGTAATTATAGATGCTTATCATCTTTTAGCCTTTATTTATATGACGTTAAATTTAATTATTTCACATATCAGCAGATTTTTTATAATTATTGAATGATTTATGTCCATCCACTTCAACTTCTATTATCATCATAATAACCAGCACTATATCTCATCATTAGGACCATTATTAGTAGGCCCTTTATAATAACAAAATGTTTTATACGTATTTATCTGTTTTAGCACCAATTCCATTTTATAATGATAACCAACAATATACAGTCGGCCCTCCCTAAATGCATCCCTCCTAAGTGCATGACCTCCTTAAATGCATGTTAATTTTCTGGCCCAAATATATACTAAACTCCCATAAATGCATTTTTTTATTATTGTTCTCTAAATGCAAGCCCTCAAAAGTTTGGTCCCGATGATATGCATTTATGGAGGGTTGACTGTATGTTCCGCTAATGCTATCTGGTTTAGTATGATATGAGAATGCTCTAAACTGGTATTAATCACTATTGTTCATTATTGATGCTTTTTTTATACCGGTTATTATTCCAATATCTGCGGATTCGTTGCAAATCCCATTCTTTATTTTCAAGTTGATCTAGAATTTCTAGAGCCTTGACCTCAGAAAAGCTGTTACTATCAAGTATGGTATTAAGAATTTTTTTTTCATTTTCAGTAGTTTGCCGACGTAGACGCTTTACGGGACCAGACTCTGTTGCATTTTTTTCATTTCTGATTCTTTTTTTTTTTTTTTTATCATTATCATTATTGATTATTGTTGACTGAATGCTTTCAAATTTGTATGCAGTAATATTGCGAGCACGACGACCTTTAACATTCCTGGCTTCAGTTTTATAAACATCTTGGCGTAAAATAGTATTTAGCCGTGAAATACCAATACTATAGCATGAAAACATTTTTTGAAACCCAGTTTCATTCATTTCCTTTGTATATTTAAACAGATTATGATTTTCTGGCTCTACTGAAGAAAACGCATTAAACAACTCAGAGGATAATTTCCATAATTCTTCTTTATGTAAATTAATTGTACGATCCTCATTAACTATAATTGTATCTCCTATGTATTTTGATAGTAATAAAGATAAACGATCTCTTTCAGACTGCACAGAAGCAATTTGCCGTTTAAGATCTTCATTATCAATAGGTTTTCCCTTAATGTTTTGTTTAACAAAATTTACCCCTAATCGTTCAAGAGCTTCATCGAGCGCAAAATAGTGACCAGGGCGTGTTAAGTTAATTGAACAAACATGTTGAAGTAATTCTTTAAGTGATGGATCATCTTTAATATATGACAAAAAATAAGCAACAGATCTTGCGTAATTACTTTTTCCAGCTACAGGAAATAAGGGGGAAAATGCTGAAAGGTTTTTAAACTGCATTTCAAAATTTCCTTTGCGAATTCCAACTTTATGACCAATCCAGTATCCTGCCCATTTAAAATAATAATACCAAACCTTCAGCACTTTATTACTACTATTTTCAATACTATCCATTTTTTTATTCTTACTAATTAAGTATCGACTAATTGCTATGCCGACGGCCACCCAAATTAACTCTAGAACTCGACAAGTTGCCTGATAATCTACTACTTTCTCTAACTTATCTAAGTACTTAACGCCAAGAGATGCAGCTAGGTTAAATATCCCATAGCCTGAAAAGATAGTTATCAATGCGCTACACATATCTTTTGAGGTATGCCATTGCCCCAAAAGCAAACCTACTTTTTCATTAGCGTCTTTGTATGGAATTAGTCGGTGGAATATTGCTTGATCACAAGCTACATATAAACGATTATTATTTTCTACCCCTACATCATTAAAATACATATTACATGCATTGTGAACATTTTCATTACAGTTTGGACTATCCCCGGGTTGAAGGATTACAACATTAGGTGGTAAAACTTGACATCCTAGTTCTGTTTGTTGTGCAATTTCATGAAGAAGATCACTTGCACTCCAGTCTTCATGTCGAGTATGTAAAAAATTAAGGAAAATTTTTTCAAAGTTTACAAGTAGATCGTCGGTAAATGTTGATGTACCAAAAATATTTTGGATTGCATTATTGTTGTTATTTTTATTGGTATCAGTTTTAGAACTAAACGGTTTTAAAGCATATTGAAATACCATCCTTAAGGTAGCATGAAATGTATTGCGTGTCGTATCATAGATATTACCATATGCATATGTTTTCTCTAAAAGGTCAATATTATCTATTACCGCGATATTCTGAATATTTTCGCCTTTCCAAAGTTTATTCTCTGGATGCACGTCTTTAATTCTATTTTTTTCTAATTGTTGCTCATACCTCTGTGTATGTGATACAATATTAGCTGCATACAAAATACTATATAAAGAAGATAGTAATTTAGGTTTGCGACAAAGAGAGCTCATAATGTGCGTTAACCATACGTTTGTGCTGGGAAATGCAATATTTAAAATCATTGATATTAAAAAAATTGATATTTTAGCTACTTTGGTTGTATCAAAAACCTTTTCCGCCAAACCTCTTTCTTTCCTTTTCTGCATTGTAGCTTCAAATTTTTTCTTTACTAATACAGTGATGAGTCCTTTAAAGAATCCTGACAAACAACTAGGAAATCCACTTTGGTAATCTTCTATAGAATCTGGTTCTTCAAGTTTTTTTTTATTCTCTTGCACCTCATGACGTGATCGCAATACTGCAATTCCAAGTGCCTCTCCAACTTTAATGGATGTATCCGTAGTAAAGTCATAGTTTTTATCTTTTATCTTTATAATATTAACATGTTTCAATCGTAATGCAGTCTTGATATATAATAGGCTTGTAGGATTATTAACAGGGCATAGTTCAGTTTTATTAAGCATTACACTTAAGTGTGATAAAATTTTTTTTTTATATTCTTGTTCTGCACTTTCTGAGATGCTTAATATCCAATTTCCCATAAGCTTAAGAGCTTCTGTAGCATCGTTATCATGCATATCCTTACACGAAAAAGGTGGGTTATTTCCTCGCTTATTCCTTTTGAAAAAATGTCCTCCTTCTGAATTGAAGCAATCAGAGCATATAAAGCGTGGTCGGTATTCATCAGACTTGTCAGCATCAGTATTATTTTCGGGTAATTCATTGCAAGAAAAAGCTGAACAGACTTTTAAACCAACACAAGGCACTTGGATATTGCGATCACTAACCTGTATCGAATGTTGTACGCATGTATTTCCACGACTAAAAAAAGCCCTATACTTATTACAGAATAGACAGCGGTGATTATAAATCCAACTCTTTTCAATTGATCGCAACTTTTTAATATGTGATTTGTGGGATTTTTGGTCAAATATAAAGTGAGCATAACAAACGCCTAATGAATGTAATTTGTCTTCTTCCTTTACTTTTAGAAATATATCATGGTCTATCTCCCATGTTCCTATGAGTTGTACTAAAGGCCTTTGTCTATTTGTTTTATTAGAACAGCGTTGAATACAACCATCAATTGTATCCAAGAGAACACAGGATGTCAAATTTTGACTTTGTGAATTCTCTATCAAATACGCTGTTCCCTCTGCTGATTCTTCTGACTCTGATTCTAATATCGGCATTGAATTTACATTATCGCTATTATCATCAGTTTCTACATCAATGTTTTCCCACGTGAGTTCTTCATTTTCATTTATATCAGCCATTGTACGTGCTTTTTCAAACCCAATTTCATCTAGAACAAACGGACGCATTTCTATTTCACAATCGTTTGTGGTACTTTCTGTTCCAAAATTTTCAGATGCCAGGCTTTCACTAAAAAAACTCGTACTACCATTATCTAATAAGCCATCATCTTCATCAGAGTTAACATATTCGTAATTTCCATCAATGAAGTTCAAAAAAAAAGCTTCATGTGAATCTGAATTGGCAATCTTTTCTTCCATAAAATTAATGTTTGCCTTTAAGATTTTGTAGCTTTGATTGAAGTTTCTTTTATCTTAAAACGCTTGTAGACCAAAATAAATCAGATAATAAATGAAAAAAGAATATATGAATTCTTTTTACTTAAAGATCCAGTGTATGTTGGCTTATAACTTGGGAAGTTAGTGTCCAAGTAAATGCACTTTAGTCAACGTCTTTAAGAAAACCATGAGAATTTTTGTGAAGATCCTCCTAATTATGGGCTATTCTTTTTTTTTTTTTTAAAAAAAAAAAAAACAGGAAATTGACAATCCCTTAATTTCTCCCGCTTAAAGACGAAGCGTTACCTTAGCGTTACTATTATCATTATTGTTATGCACGTTCGCACATAATTATATTATCGTTATGATACATAGAGACTATCGCTATATAGAGATTATTTGAATGGTTTGGACTTGTAATTTATTTATATCCTTCGAATATAGAGCACTCATCCATTAAAAATCACTATCGCTATTATTTAAACTGTCTTTTTTTTAGTTAAATCAGTCTGATGCCTTCGAATTAGAGTTCTGCAGTGCCGGGCATGGTACTATTAAAACATAACGATAGTGCCTGTCTCCGTGTCTGGCACGATTCAAACATGGTGCCAATGTCGGCACTTACAGAACCTCTATTCAAATACTCTACAAGAATATTACATACTTGAGGTAAAAAGTCAGTCAAAATATGCTTTAAACTTTTTTTTTCCACAGATATTAATAGCATTTACTCTGAGTTCACTAATCGGAGTACCAATAAGTTGATTAATAAAATACTAATTAGATATTTAAACTATTATAAACTTCAGGTATTATTACCTACCATAAGAAATAAAAAGCATTAATAACAAATATCCACAGTCTGTTTTATAAATTTATCCATCTTTGAGATTCATATAATTTAGGTTAGAATATAGGTCCATGCTTAACACTCTACTGTAAATCAACGATTATTAATAGAAGTCTCGGATATTGTACAAAAGCAATAATGGTAATACAGTTATTTGAGCATTTTGGATGTTGTATGTACGTATGTACTTGATACAGCGTTTTAATTTTAACATAACGATAGCGATAGATTGGATTACTGACGTTAATTTATTATCTATGGTTCAACAACTTGGATCAAAGTTTCTTTTACATTATGACAGTTATAGAAAATAATAAAGTGAATAATTGGTGAAAGATGAACCTATATAATGTTTTTACTTAGTTTAATACGAGAGGTTAGCATATAGTTTATGGAGATACCGTTCAAATAACCTTTTTTTATCTATGAAAAACAATAGAAAATTCGCACGATGATCATATAAATTGACAATTGCCTCACGGATTAACGTTAATACGCGACCGTTAAACTATCCGAAAAAAACACGTGATATAATCATATGTATGATTTTTGCTTCATAATTTTAATCGAAGTTTCTTTTATAATGCAGTAGCTGTAAAAAAATACAAAGCAAATATTTAATAAAAGGCGGACATACGTCGCATTATTATCTAGTCTAGTGAAAGATTAAGATATAATTTATGGATATATTATCTAAATAAACATTACTCGTCTAAGTAAAACCGATATAAATTCATAATAAATTGACAATTCTTATTGGATTAACGGACATAATCCTTGACCGATATATAATAATAATAATATATATAAGAATAATAATATATGTAAGAATAATAATAACAATTTACGATGAAACTTTTATTTCTTTGAATATCTTAATACAAAATATTTTCTAAAATATAGCACAACTTTATTCATCCTGTCGAATTACGAAACCAAAACCTGCATTTCAAAATAACAATAAGTCATGTTTTAAGTGCACAACCCGTGTAAATGGAAGCATAAAACAGAATCAAATTTTAAATGATATTCGCAAACAAAAAGAAAAGACTATAAAATCTGAAGAGCTTGAAATATATAGTTATGAAAAACTTATGGATGTTGAGAGAAAGCAATATGTATATGAATCTTGAAATAGTTGTAGATATTTCCCCAAATAGAAGTAAATAATATGAATGAAGCTTTTGCAGGTTCATTGTCATTATATTATGGTTTATAATTTCTAAATCTAATATTATGGTATATTTATTTAGATACAATGCAATTCCCAATATCCTTTACTTTACGGAAGCTAAAGAAGCTTTGTGGAAAAATATTTGAATATCAACCTTAATCAATTATACACAAGTCAATTTTAATAATTGATCTGGTAAATTCAGAGACCAAAATATAGATAATGAAGAATCGAGTACTGAAGATAGTGAATCTGAATCTGAAATTTACTCTTCATGAAGTATAAAAATCTTTTCATTTATTTCTATGTTTAAATAAATTTATTTATTAATTTTATATTTTAGCCACTTGATTGTTTTGAAAAGTCAAATAATTTTCCCTCAAAAAAAAGGCTTCAAAAGTATTGAATCGAACTTTAAACCTATTCAAAAAAATAGTAGATGATATTAAAGATTTTAAACAAGCAAAAAAGCTTGTAGTGGACATAACTAAGTACCTTTTATTAATAGCATAAAAAATTCAAATTTGAAGCTTTATATGTGTGTTAAATAAAATTTGAATTTGGATAAAAATGCATTCTATACATTTGAATTGAGTGTAATTTGACTTATAACCTGTAGCGATAATTAAATAAATTCTAATAAGTGAATAAATATAATAGATTTTAACTAATTTTTACCCATAGTGATATCACCCAGCATTATAAAATTTTTATTAAAATAAATTTACATGTAGTTAAGATTAGGGTTAGGCATAAGCTAAAGTTAGATTAGGGTTTGAGTAAGAGGATTTATATATGTAAAATTCAAACCTGAAAACTTTTACTTAAAAGTTGAAATGTAGTTTTCATAATAAAATTTAGAGTTATTAAAGTTTTTTAAATTTTTTTTTTCTTTGCTTTGTTTTGGTTATACAAGATCTAGTGATCTAATTGGTTTTTATACAACTAGGTGATATTACCTAGGGTGAAAGTTAGCAATACTCAATATAATAATACTGAAAAAAAATAATTATTTCTTCAAAATCTTGTGATCCTGTGATTCTATTATTCTTGTGTGCAGATTGAAATTTAAAAAGCGATTATGTATGGCAATACTAGACGCATTATGATTAGTTATGTACGGAGTTGAAATTAATTATATACCAAAAATTTTAATTATGCATTGTATTGGTTATAATTAATAATAAATTAATATGATGATATTTGTTTATATTATAACTTAATAACAATTGTCATTTAAAAGTTTTTTCTTACTAAATATTTCATAAGAATCTAATTAATAGAATCTGATTATCAACTTAATTAAATTCAAAAAAATATTTACCCTGCCAAATAATAAACAAACTTTGAAAATAGAAGGTTTAAATATTCTGGTTAATTTATTCAAAAGGTTTAATCATTTTTTGCTTGTTTAAAATTTAATTTTGTCTATATATATTTAGATTGACAGAAATAGCTAATGAAGATATTAGTAAAAAATCGAAGAATAGATAATTTGAAACATCAAGAAAAGGTTATTTTATTATGAGTGGATATGAAAAATATGCTTGCTAATTTAATCGATAAATTAACAAAACCACTAGAAAAGGGTTAGGTAATGTATTAATTTAATTTTGTCTACAGAGCAGACAACCTAGTCATAGCAACTAAACATTTTTAGTGGCCAAATTCAAACTTTATTTTTTATATATATGAAGAGGCCAATTTGAAAACTTTGCTAATATTTATATATAAAGTGGCCAAATTTTTAATTTTAATATATATAAAATTAAATTAATTGTCTAAAGAGACCAAATCTGCCTTTTTTTTAGATATATAAAAGGTGGCCAAATTTCATATTTAATTATAAAAATACTATAATTTAACCTACTATAACTTTTTTATAAATAATCTTAAGAAATTGGAAGTGTTTAGCTTGTTTTAGTTTAACATTTTAAGATAGTATTTTTTGTTTACTATTTTTTTTAAAGAAGAATTAGCAATTTAAATTTCATCAATTTTATTTGTTGGGACTAGGCTGTTTGCACTATATATATATTTAGATTGACAGTAATAACTAATGAAGATATTAATAAAAAAGAGGTGTGGTGACTTAGTGTAGTGGTCTAATTGTCACTCTCTCCAAGTGGCAGGTCTAGAGTTCGAATCCCATGAACGATGAATTTTGAAAAATAGGCTTGTGTTACATTTGACAGTTATGATTATCAGTTGGATATTAGGTAAATCTGTAACTTTGGTCACACCATCTAGTAATGGGAGCAATGGTGCAATAAAGCCGAGGAGCTGGAATAACCAAAAACTTATTTGGGAAGTCCTGAGCTAAGGAATAGCAATGATCTATGATAGTACTACATGAGGGCTGAATTCAAACTGGGGCCCGAGATCAGAGAACCGAACGACCAGGTCCTAATGGTGAAGGACACACCAGCTAAACCGTCGGGTTCTGTCGCACTAGAGGAAAAGAGCATACACTTTGAAAGTATGTACCAAGGGGAGGGCGTCCTTTAGGCACCTAAAGCCTGGGCAGACCAACTCTTTCGGGTTGCTAGCTAAAAGTAAGGGAGAGACCAATAAAGAATCTGGGTAAGAAGACAGTACCAAATGTGGGTATTGGAATTGTTGTGAACCTTAATAAGGGCAAGAAGTAGGTAATAGTTGACTAACTTGGAAAGGTTGTGGCTTGAGGTACAGACTGAGTTGCGGCAGCATCCTAAAAGATGGCTTGAGGTACAAATCCGGTGACAGCAGCATAACAGATACTAAAGTTGGTTACAAGGGGTTCAATAGTTAGCTCTGACCCAAGTGCATAAGTCAAGCTGTGGCGTAAAATTACCGAAGTCTGGGTGAGGCATATGAGTAGAACAGGTGCCCCAGCAAATAGGCGAGCACAGCCTACTATTGATCTGGTGGGTAATCCCCTAGTAAGTTAGAGGCCAAAGGGGAGATAAATCAGTGGCT